CCCCTCTGCCTCGGTGGTGGCCTCCACCTGGCTGTTTTAGTTGTTGGGAGGTTTGGGATGTGGCTGTTGACTGAAAGAAAAATGGAGACTTCGTGGGTCTCTCACAGATGGCACAGGGAACAGGAGGCCGGCCTCACTGATGGAGTGTGCTTTCCCCTAAAGCCAGAAAGGAAGGAAGGAGGTTTAGAGTTGGGTGGAGGAGAGCAAGTGTCCTCCTAGGACATCCTCCTACTCACCAGTGTGGCCGGTCACTGCAGAGACGCGGAGGAGGAGGAAGCCAGGCCACTTCTGCTGGATGGAGGGGCACCCGTCAGGGACCAGGCCCACTGGGGCCCAACCGAGGGGGCGGCTGAGACCCGCAGTGCACCCTGGGCACCACTTGCCAGCTCTCCCCCTGGACTTGGCCTGAGAATTGCAGGTCCCACTGACTCAGGGCAGCTGGGCTGGAGACCAGGGCAGGGGGTGGGGCTGGGCGAGGAGCAGGACTCCTGCCTGCTGGACAGTCCCCTGGAAATTGCCCCCTGAGCCTCCCGGCTCCAGCCCCAGCCCTGGGAACGCCTCCTGCAGGTCAGGTCAGGTGTCCTGAGCCCTGTAGCTGCCCTGCAGGTGATGCCCATCTCTGTGTTAGTGTCACCCACCCTGGGCCACAGATGTGGCAGCTCTGGTGACGCTTAGCCATCTGGAGTGGAACATGCAGTGGCAGCCGTGTGGCCTCCCCAGGACCCAGCACAGGCCTAGGTTCGCACCCCGACTCCCACGCCGCCTGGAGACTTCCAGAACAGCACCTCCAGCGGGACCTCAAACCCTCTGCGTCTGTAAGCACTCACTTGTGCCTCAGAAGGCGCGCACGCTCTGAGGGTCCTTGCGGGGCCCCAGGACTGTGCTTGCCAAGAAGGCCTGTCTTGTGACGACAGAAGTGGCCATATACACATGGCTTTTATTACAGAGCACCAGGAATGTGACGAGAGGCTTAATGCCCCAGGACAAGCACTGGTGTGGGTTTCCCACCCCTCAGTCCCGGGGAGGAAGCGCTCGGCTCCTGAGCTGCACCTGAGCCCTCTGTTAGACACATGGAAGGAAATACGAAAAATTCAATGTTAATGTGTTGGGGTGGTTAGATTTTGGACAAATTTTATTTGTTGAATTTATAATGAAGTTTATGGAACAAACCAAACGGATACATAGGTTTTGTTTGATAAAATTACACGTATGTACTTAAATACATTATATACCTATATATGTATATAAAACTCAACACATTCGTATAGACCAAACTGCTAAACCGTAGATCATGGTAAACCAGTTTATCCTGTTCTTACCTTTTTTCTCCAATAGCAGGGATCCATCCCAGAGCCCTGCACGTGTCGTGCAGGTGGTTTACCACTGCACTAAACCCAGGCTTCTAAGTTTTGGCAGAGGGTTGCCCAGGCTGGTCTCCAACTTGCAATCCTCCTGCCTCAGTCTTTAAAGTGGCTGTGATCACAGGTGTGCAGCATGAGCCACCACGCCCAGCTGCATCTTGCTCAGCCACCAGCAGCCTGAGCCTGCGGAGGCCACTGGAGACTGCCAGCCAGGGGGGCTTGCTTTGTGGTTCCTGAACATGCCCCCCCTTTGTGGTGAGATGCAGGGCAGGGGGCGAGCCAGTGGAGGCCGGTGTGGAGGCCTGGAGCTCTGGGCAGGTGGAGTCTGCCATGAGGTAGGGAGTTCCTGATGTGGGGACAGAATTCCCTGTGGAGTGGCACTTCAGGGTTGAATCTGGCGACCGCTGCCAGGTCTTCTCGTGGCACCTACGTTCTGAGCAGCAGGAAGTAGCCTGGGACAGCCTCTCACTCGCCGGGTTCTCCAGCTCTGCTGTCCGCAGACCAGCTCGCGTCCGTCAGAGGGCAGTGCCTGTTGGCCTCCTCCTCTTGGCCCTTGGTTGCTCACCCCATCTGAGGTCCAGGCTTGCCCCATCCCCTTCCTCCACCCAGCTGCCTGGCTGGAGTACCCCACTGTGGGGGCTCCTGAGGAAGGTCTCCCACGGACGCTGCAGCCATGGGCCTCGCCTGCCCCGTCTCCAGGGCCTGGGTGTGAGGCACCCCCAGGCCTCTGTAGCTTCCCAGACCATGTCCAATGTCCAATGCAGACCTGGCTTCCCCAGGGATCAGAGAATACCGGAATGGAGACGTGGAGTTTAATACAGCACTGGGCACAGTAGCCACAGGTGGGAACAAGGCTCAGATTTGCCAGGCAACGTGGAACAGCACTCCGCCATGAAGAGGAAGGAGCAGCACGCCGTCATATGCCTGGGCCTCGACCGCCCCGTGCTGGGTGAGCGAAGCCGGGCACAGAGAGGCTCGCTACAGGACTCCTCCTCCACCAAGGCCCAGAACAGGCAACCCCATCGGGGGAAGAGCAGGTGGTCCAGGGCTGGAAGAAGCGGGAACCGGGGCAGCTGCTCAGGGTCCAGGGGGCTTTCCTTCTCCCTGTGAACAAGGAAGAGGTGACAGCTACCCAGTGTCGGGAGGGCTCCGAAATGTCACTGAGTTTGCACTTGAAAAAGGTTGATTTGGGGCTGGGGGTGTGGCTCAGTTGTAGAACTCTTGCTTGGCCAAGGTGGCGCTCTTGGCACAATACTACAAAAACAAACAAAAAATGAAAAGGCTAATTTTGTCTGAATTAGAAAAGAAAAAAGAAAGGCATGCTCACACACAGGCTAAAAGTTAGTACAGGTTGAGGGGTCAGAGGGTAAGGATTCAGGATTCAAAAGACATGGATCCGGGAACACAGGATTCTAAATATATTGCCCATGTTATCCGGTCAACCTCTGCAGTCGCCTCACATCCAAACACAATGAACAGCTTTGTCCCGTGGAGATGAGTCTCCCAAGCTTCAAACGACTCATTGAAACATAATTTTTTCCTTTTTACTAGTTGGGGACTATTGGTAACTTAGTCTTCTTTTTTTAGGAGGGTTACTGGGAATTGAACTCAGGGGCACTCCACCACTGAGCCACACCCCCAACCCTATTTTGTATTTTGTTTAGTTAGACACAGGGTCTCACTGAGTTGCTTTGTGCCTCACTTTTGTTGAGGCTGCCTTTGAACTTGCAATCCTCCTCTCTCAGCCTCCCGAGCCGCTGGGATTACAGGCGTGTGCCACTGTGCCTGGCTAGCTCCCATTCTGAATGAGTCAATAAAAGACATCATAGTGGTCATATTTGGGGAAGTGAAGTCCGATGTCATCCGTTTTTTCCTATGTGTTGGCTCCTCTGGCAATGGGTTTGGTGGGAAGAACTCTGAAGTTACTGCGGGTTAAACGGAGGTCTCTGGAGTATCTGTGAGTTTCAGCTCTCCATATGCTTGGCTGGCCCCGCCTGGCACGGATCACTGAGGGCCTGAATAGAAGCCGTTCCCATCAGATCAGCTTTACTATAGGCTTATTAATTCTTCCACTAATGGAGCCCCCCAGACACAAAGCCCCTTTCTCCAGCAGCACACACACCCTACACCACAATTTGTCAAATTAATGCTGTTTAATGGCACAGTGTTAACCAGAGAGTTAGCCTCAAGAGCACACATGGGCAGCGAGGGGCGAAACCAGGGATCTCGACAGTGCACTTGGTGACCTCAGCACCCACAGCCAGAAGGTATTCCAGAGCATTTCTAAAGTGTAGTTAGAAATCGTAATCAATGCTTTCCAGTGATTTGTATTTTCAATTTCTATTGAGGTTGTCACTGCCTTAATCTATCCGGATTTAAATTAAGACAGCTTTTAAAAATGCCTGTTAATTTTAGTGATCTCCCCATTTTCAGATGTCTTATTTATATTTACTAACCACAGCCCGCACGCCTTTTAGGGTTTCAATTTCTCTTCTTGGACACATTTGTATTTATATTGAGCACAATAAACATCTCCCATTCCAAGGGCCCCCTCTGACCTCCTTTGATCTCTGAGTCCCAACATCCCTTAACTTGACATATAAATTAGCCGCCCCTCCCGCGAGCCGGGGGGAGGGTAGTGTGTCAGCTGCCCCCTCGCCCCTCTCGGATCTCCAGCATCATGTTTTCCCCATTGCCATGGAGATGCAGCTCTGCACGCAGCACCATAGCCCTGGCGATGGGAGAAGTCCAGCGGGGATAGAATTACTAGCTAAACAGATGCTGCTGGGTGCTGGGGAGGGGTGCCCCATCTCCTGGTCTCCCACACCAGGCCCCAGGTAAAAGGGCCAACAGCCCATGCAAACAGACCTCGGCTCTGTGAAAGGCCCAGCAGGCCCACTCCTACCCCAAACCGCGCCTGGTGCGACCGAGTCAGCATGGGAATGTGTGGGAGGTCAGTGCTCCTTTTATGAAAATATCACTGTCCTGATCCCAGAACACGTCTCACTGTTGAACAGAGAAGGCAGCAGGGTGAACACCAGCCAGGACTCCCGGAAGCCCTGACTTCCCTCTGATCCACGCCACGTCCATGGTGGGGTGAGTGTTGACCGGTCCTCTGCAACGCCTTAGGATACCACTCGTGGGGAGATTTCTCCAAGATGAAGAACTCACTGACACACAGTTCTCCATTATGGTTTCTAAAACAACAAGACTGTCCATCTAACCATTGGAGTGTTAGATGTACAGGCCTCTCACTTTTGCTTTTCTCAGTATCTCTTGTCTTCTTTCTTTTTAATTGTGTGTTTGTTTTTGGTTAAAGAACCACTGATGAGTCTCCAGGGGGATAAAAATTTGGAATACACAAATATTTGTTAAAGAAGTAAACGGAGGAATTGGGATTGTGGCTCAGCGGTAGAACGCTGGCCTAGTACACGTGAGGCCCTGGGTTCCATCCTCAGTACCACATAAAAGTAAATAAATAAAATAAAGGCATTGTGTAAAACTACAACTAAAAAATAAAAAAGAAGTAAATGGAAATTGTCATTTCAAGAAGTGAGTGGGGTTTTTTACATATGCAATCTGCAATACATGGTAGTGATATATTGAAGTATTAATTCTTTCTTTGTGTGTGTGTGTGKGGGGGGGTACTGGGGATTGAACCCAGGGCCTTGTGCATGCAAAGCAAGCACTCTACCAACTGAGCCATAGCCCCAGCCCCTGAAGTCTTAGTTAATGTGCTCTATAAGCTGGCCATGGTCTGGGGTGTGGTGGCTGATTGGGAAATCGTGTTTGCCCTCCTCGCCCAGTGTTCACGGCCTGTGGATGCATCTGCCCATTTTTCCCATGTTCTGAGGACGTGAGGGTCTCCAGGGGTGCTCCACCCTCTCAATACTAGTTGATGAGGAGACTGGAAAACCCGCAGCCATCTGGAGCACCCTCACATCGACAGAACATGGGAATAATAGCTTCCGGGGTCCTGCATCAAGCTTTTCAATAATATTGTAAAATTATATCAGTTTGTAGGTCTTGGAGTCACTTAATATTTTTATGTTTATTCAATAGAATTATAGATGACAGAGTTTTTTTTTTTTTACAAGCAGTATTTTCTTTCATCTTTGAAAAAGACTGTTTTCTACCCCCATTTTCCATTTAGGTTTAAAAGAGCCAAACATTGTTTTTTTTTTGTTTTGTTTTAAAAAAAGAGAGAGAGAGAGAATTTTTTAATATTTATTTTTTAGTTTTTGGTGGACACAACATCTTTGTTGGTATGTGGTGCTRAGGATCGAACCTGGGCCGCAGCCTGCCAGGCGAGCGCGCTACCACTCGAGCCACATCCCCAGCCCAAGCCAAACATTTTTAACTTCCCTTAGAAGTTGCTTCCAGGTAGCAGAAATCACAGGTAAGAAAATGCTACAGTCCACTTGAGTTTCCTTTTCTAGTTTTGTATTATCCAGCCCTGTCTGGGGCGCACCCATCCCCCTCAGGAGGAAGATTGGGGGCTCGCCCTGATGCTGATCTGCTGCCTGGAGTGAAGCAGGGCTCCTGTCTGAGAGGTGGCCTCGCACAACCTGGGGCTCCCGCGGCACCTCAGGCCTTGAGATGGTGCAAAGTGGTCCCTCTGGAGGCCCCTCTGTAACAGGCAAAGCCTTCGGGGGGCTTGCTGACGGACCACAGCACCGTGCCTGTGGCCCTCAGACACCCTGAGCAGAGGTGCATGCAACAGCGTAGCTGAGACACTGATGCCTGGCAGGTGCTCAGTACTGCCCGTCCAGACCCCCGCTGCTGGCCACCCGGCAACCTCTCCACCTCGGCTTTCGCATCTCAGATGTGCATTATAGGAGCTACGAGTGTCCATCAGGGAAACGGGCGTGCAGTAACTCGGCCAGATTTTGTCACTGTGGCCATGTGGAATGATCATTGGTGTTATTTTGAATAATGCGATTTTAAAATGATCTGCATTGCGTTCACGAAGAGTCTGGCAGCTCGTCTGTCTGCGATGTGGCCTCGTGAGCCTGGCCTTCCATGTCAACGTTCCTGGGTTCCTCGGCCACTCCCTGTGCTTGCTTTATGAAGCAGACAGAAAACAAGCTCTGGAGACTCACCTGCACACTCCGCGGCAGCCGACGAGGGGCACCGACCTGCACCCCTGGAGTCAGGCTCCCACCTCAGAGGAAGGCGGGCCGCGCCAGCAGATGCCACGGTAGGATTCCTTGCAGGAGCCACGGCGCCCCTGCGTCTGCTCTGCTGAGCCCTCCCTCCCTACCCACCAACAGACCCTCTTCAGGGAGCCCGGTCTGTATCCGCATAGTCCCCAGGATGACTCTGGTGGAAACCCTGGGGAGGTTTGAAGCCCCACGGTGCTGACAGTTTTCTGTCCCTCACGTAATGCCATGATCCTTTAAACCCACACCTGTAGATGCATCTGCCTCCTGGGTGCCTGTTGGAATGCACTGGAAGGAGGGCATGTGAAGGTGACCCCTATGCGGCTTCTGTTTCCCAAAGACTAGCGACAATGTATGGCTTCTGATGGTTAGAAGTCAGTGGAACCCTTTGAAGTTGGCATTGTCATTGAAATACCTAGAGTAGCTGGGAAGAAATCCGCTCTGACCAAAGTCCCCGAATAGCTCAGCTGTGCTTTCCCTGCAGCCACTAGCATGGCACAACGGAGAGCTGCAGGGTGGCAGGATGGCATGCAGCGTGTCATGGTCACCCCCTGGCTGCCAACAGAGGCTGTGTGCTCACGCCAAGGACAGGCCATCCAGGCCTCCTGGCAGGTGCTGTCTTGGACACATGTGCACAGGGAACACGTGCTACTGAAGCCAGAGAATAAGCCCAACAACATCGAGATGTGAAATAGAGCTTCAAATCAACCCTGCACGCTACAATAAATAAACTGACCAAAGACACCTAAACCCACCAAGGTGACAGGAAGGTGGCTACTTGAAAAGGGCAACTCATCGTTTTCAAGGAAGAAAGGAACTTTATTCCCCAGGAGAAGGTCAGCCTTGAGACATGGCCAGGCAGCAGAGCCTTCGCAAGGCAGACTCTGCTCTTGGGACAGACACAAACATATGCTCTTTTGACTATCACAGTTTAAAATGCTTTTTCTAGTTCCTAAGATGCCTGATGGCTTGGAACTGCATAATGCGGTGTTTACACATGACTTCTAGGTGCGTGGCTGGGAGTGAGAGCTCTCAGGGGGTGTCTAGGATCTGCTCAGGACTTGCTCAAGCACCAAAGGAAGGCAAAGACAGTGCCCGGTTCAAAGGAAAGAGCCACCTCCCCAGGCTGCTCAGAACCGCACAGTGCTTCCTCGCTGGGACTCTGAAGCCTGAGGACGCCTGTCCCTCTCGTTCCAGGTGGACGGGCCAACTGTGAGGCCTAAACCCTGCAGAGCACCACCAGCTTTCCAGTCTGAGGCTGAGGCCCAGGCCTCTGGCCTTTGGAGTTAATCATTAACGGCTCTGGAATCACAGTGGAGTCTGGGTGGGACACAGACGTGCCACTCTCCTGAGTATTCTTCCTCATCATCTCTATTTTATCCAAAAATTCTGATTAGAGACCTCATGGCACTGTGAGCCCTGCTGGTTGAGGCGGAGACCACTGGCACCTCTGTCCATGGAGAATTTGAGTTAGGCTAGTTGGGCAGAAGGGAAGCTGAATTTTCATCCTGAATGCTTGATTTGTAGATTAAGCCATCACTGCTCCTGTGTTTTAACTATAGGAAGTCAGCATCCACGCCTTCCGGGAGTCCGGTGTTTCCAGGATAAGCCACGTGTTCAGCTAAAAGGCGGTGACTGAGCACAGGAGTAGCTGCCACACAAACCCCAGAGACCACCGACTGATGCTTTAAGAGTCAATTTGTGAGGGCTGGGGATATGGCTCCGTGGTAGAGTGCTTGTGTGAGGGTTTGACTCTCGGCACTGCATATAAATAAGTAAATAAAGCCTCATCAACAACTAAATATAAAAACAAAGGAGTCAATTTGCTCCCAGGTATCTCTAGGGAGGAATCCTGAAGCAAGGCCCTGGCTGACAGCTGTCCAAGTCCTGTTAACACAGGACACCCGCGTGCCTCCCGCATGAACCCAGCTGGGCCTGCGGTTCCCTCTCCTCTAAGGCTTCAGGTGGCCAAAGGACTACGGTCTGCATTTTTTGTTGTGTTTGAGAAAACCCAGAAAGAGAGACCCAGCTAAGCTTTCTAGAACACGGCAGGCCAAATAATGTTCTCTAGTGACTCCAACATAGACCAGTATGAGCAGCAACAATCTAAATAACTGGGAAATCAGCAAATCAAATAAGTAAAAATGCTGACTTTGGCCTAACTGTAGCTCCCAGTGACGAGGCGGCCACTAAGTAGGACGTGCCTGTTCATTAAGCTTTTAAAGCTGGGATCCGCTAATGCCACTTGAAAGGGTGGGCCACGGCAGTCCAAATAAGGAACAATGCTGCCCTTAAGCTCATTAAGTTTAGGATTTATACAAATAGCCATTTAAAAGAGTTTGTTCAAAAATGTGCACACCGCCACCAAAATCATCATCTTCACAGGCCAAACAAAGACGGTGAAGGAAAAATAAAGTTGAAAACAGCAATAAAAGCCGAGGTTGCCATGGATTCTATTTTGAAATAGCACACGTGGGTCTTTCCCTAACCTTAACCTGACTTTCAAAGTGCAGGAGGTAAAGTAAAGTTTGTCAACAAATTCGTTCACGGGCTGTCTGCAGACTGGCACTGGGACAGGGAATCGGCACATTCCCCGGAACATCTGACTTACGGTCTGACTTCTGTTCTTGTAAAGCTCATCAGGATTTCGAGATCCTTCTAGAGAAGCAACAGAAGATGGGCTGTCCTGTGCTGAAGCAGGGAGGCGCTGGCTGCAGAATCCAGCCCAGCAAGGCCACGGGCAAGTCTGGTGGCCGAGCTTGGAACCTCCCTCTGTCCAGCTGTCCCTGCAGAGGGGACTCAGTGCTCACCCTGGGGAGCCCCCTCCGCAGCAGTGGGAGCCCCGAGGGCCCTGCCAGCTCCGTGTTCCCTCCCAGGTCCCTGCTTCACCTGGGCCACAGAAAGGCTGCTTGTTTTCTTTAAACTTAAAATGCTCACAGCACCCTCGAGAGCCGCCCCTTCTGCGTCTCCGCTAGTAGGTCTCCAGAACACCAGGGCCAAGCAGCTTCATCTTTGGGGGCCGCTCACACATTTTGCATCCATATTCTTTTAAGATCTGTCCCTTAGAAACATGTACAGATTTTAGAAACCTGAAGACTGGGCTGGGGTTGTGGCTCAGTGGTAGAGTGCTTGCCTAGCACATGTGGGCTCTGGGTTCAGGACCACCTAAAAATCCAAATAAACAAAATAAACGGATTGAGTCCATCTACAACTAAAAATTAAAAGATAAAAACCCCTTAAAACCAAAAGAAAAAAAAAAAGCATTCAGAGGGGGCCGACCCCACCCCTAAGAGGGGAGCACTCTCCTCCGCCCTTCTCCGGAGAAGGGCTGAAGCCCTGGGGTCTCCCATCAGGGCCACCGATGCCCAGGGCCCAGCACCAGGTTCCTCTGTGTGTGCAGGGGTTCTGGTCAGCCTGGAGGGCCCCCGGGGCCAGGCAGGAGCAGTGCAGGGGGTCTTTCCTTTCTCCCACCTTCCCACCTCTCAAGACCGAATGTTGGGAAGATTCACGGAGGCAGCACAAGGTCGCGGAGTTAGAGGTCCAGGTCCAA